CCCAGCTGCAGGAGCTGTCAACTGGCTTCTGCTCAGCCAAGAGCTGTGATCAAGTACAGAGCAGAAACACTGTGTACAAGGACACCAGTTCACCTAAGAACATTAGGACAGCCAGGAATTCAAACTACACAAAGTACAGCTTCCTGCTCGCTGTGCCCAAGGCAGCTCCAAGCTCAGCCAGAGGAAGGCTGGGCACTTGGGCTGGAAGACACGACTCACTCGACTTACACAAGAGGGGGCGTGCAGGAGTCATGCAGTCTCAGGGGAAGGCACTGGGCTAAACCCTCATGACTATAACATGAAGAAATCATGTGAGGTGTGTGACTTAGATGCTTATTGACGTGGATCCTTAGTTATTTCTAAGGAATGAAGGTGCTGCCTGTCCGTGTAAGAGCAGGGTGCCCGTACATTCCTCGGGACTGTTCCTTGGTGACGACAACTTGTCTACTTAGTGGGGGAGAAGAGCTGAGCTGGGTGTCTACCTTTGTGCATGCTGTGCTAGGGTGGGGTCACTTGCTTGGAGCTCCTGGGAGAGGTCTAGCTCACAGAAGGAGAGACGACGCAGGAGAGGCACGCCACACCAACAGCCTGACAGCACCCTCCAAGACAGGGGCAAACAAGTACTTGGAGCAGTTTCTTCCCATCCATCCGCCCCCTCCCTGCACCCACCCCACCTGCTGCCATGGGGCCGAGGACACCAGGGACAATGATAGTTAAGGGCTGCTCAGGTACAGGAAAACACACAAGCACGTTTGCCACTCTGAATTCCAGGCAGAAAACATGAAAGCCGATGGGAGCTCGTCTGAACGCGTGAGCCATGACAGCAGGTTCCTGGGGGCTCAGGTGTGAGATACTGAAGTTCTATTCATTCAGAGGAGAAGCAAGCAGGAAAACCCACACCTTCCCCGATCATTCGACTGCCTAGATCACATCATTTCCAGTAACCACAGCAGTGAGAGAGGAGGCTAACCCAGTGTGCACAATCTGAACCCTCTACCAAATTCCATTCTTCTCCCCTTTATCAAAATGAAGTCGCCAAACTTCTCTTAAAAGTTGTATGATTCACACGCGGAGAGTAAAAGAGCCAGAACATTTTGTCAAATGACCTAGTCTGCAAAGACAAGTCCCTGAGTGCATTTTAGTTTGAACAAAACATGTTTCCTCAAGGACAAGAAAACCTCGGCACTGTAGGACAGGGTTAAACAGTAGCCCCTTCCTGGCTGGTACAGGTTTCAGGTGAAAAAGTGTGGAGCTCAAGTCTGTGGTACCCGGAGGCATTTAAAGGAAAACACTCATGGATTTTCAAAGTCAGAAGGTCTTTCCTAGACTAACACCAATCAGTCCTGCGGGAAACCTGGCCGATGAAAGCCAACACACAAGGGTTTCACCTTCCCAGGTGCAATGAGCTCACACATGTTTACATGGCAACGTCTTTTTAAAGCTTTATTGGCTTTTTACAAAATGCCTGGCAAAATGGAAACATTAATTTCTGAATTTTAAAAAGTAGGGCCAAAGTTCATTTTAATAGTAATTTTTTCTCAACATGAGTATTGGACTGGTGTCATTTTCCTAGTTTTAATAATTAGAGGAGATATTATCATTGGGCAGATCTGGGTAATGGGTACAGGGGATCTCTCCTATTTTTGAAACTTCTTGTGTACCCATAATGATTTCAAGATAAAAAGTTTTATAAAAACCCTTATGTATGAAACAATTGCTAGGAGCTTATTTTTAAGGAAAAAGCTCTAATATATACTGAGACTATGAGTTATGTGATGAAACTAAGAACCAAAATAGAGTAGTTCAAAATACATTTAGATTCTTGGGCTGGGGGCATAGCTCAGTGGTAGATCAAGTGTTTAGGCTAAATGAGACCCTGGGCTCATCACCACCAATACCAAAATAAATAGTTTTGGGGTTTTTAAAAAATATATATTTTTTTAGTTGTAGATGGACACAATACCTTCATTTATTTATTTATTTATCTATTTACTTTAATGTGGTGCTGAGGATCGAACCCAGTGCTTCACGTGTGCTAGGCAAACACTCCAACACTGAGCCTAGCCCCAGTTTTTGATTCTTAAACAAGTAGACAAATGAGTATTGTTCTCTTTATTCTCATCAACTATGACCTTTCTAGCAGCCTCTCTGCAGTCCCTCTTTTTTTTTAAAGGTCCCTAGAAATGAAGAAGTATCCTCTTAAAGATAGTTCTTCCTTCTCTTAACATACTTGAGACCTAGGAAGAAATAAGCAGCGAACTGCATCAGCTTCCATTAGCATGTCTTGGGAATTTAATAAAAACAAGAGGACAAGAGACTCTGGATTACTGCGACCTGGAAACTGACAAAACCCACTGACCACTTGAGCTGGCCTTCTTGACCGTGGCTTCTGTTTCCTTCCACGAAAGGTACCTAATGATCAGCCCCTTGGGCCTGTTCTGGCTCAGGCTCACACGAACCAATGACAGACATGAAGCTCTTCATAGAGAAAGTGCAAGTCCACCTGGAGCCCAGTGTTCCTGACTTTAGGCCAGTACTTTTGCCAGATGGTACAGGTCTTCTCTGAGGGGATTTGATGATGGCCAGAGCAGCAGCTGACAGACCACGGTTTTCCTACTGGTGTCTGACTCAGCAACAGCCAAGCGTCAGGGGGACTGGAGTTGACCTGCGCGTGGGGACTCTTTAGAATTCAGCTTCCGTGGTGTGTGGTTGGAGAAAACGGCAAACAGTTCCAGCCGTGTGCTGTTAGCATGGCGGCTGGGCACACTGGTTTAGCCATGAGAAAACTGCAAAGAAAGTACATTCTTGCAAAATCAAGGAAAAATGCAAAGAGGAAACCAGAGATGGAACTAAGGAAAGATAACTACAAGACAAAGTAGTGCCGGGGGTGATGCCCAAACTACAAGAGGCAGATGAGGACCAGCCACACAGTGCTGCATTCAGACATTCGACCCACAGTACTTACTGCCCCCCAGGGCCAGGCAGCACTGGCTGTAGGATGAGGACAGGGACAGCTGAGAGTCCCTGCCCCAGAGCTGACCCTCTTTCAAAGGGTGGATATACACCACACCTGTGGCCTGGGACCTGCTCCCCACTTCCCTGGTACCTTTCAGAACACCGTTTTCCTCCCTCTCCACTGCAGGCCATGCTGATCTCTGTCCTGGACCACAGCAGCTTGAGTCCTTCAATGTCCCTATACATTATGGTTTCCCACAGTGTTCTCCACACAACAGCAACTGTCATGTTTTCTAAAACAAATCGCCATCAGGCCAGGTGTGGTGGCACATGCCTATAATTCCAATGTAATCCCAATAACTTGGGAGGCCGAGGCAGGAGGCTCACAAATTTGAGGCCAGCCTTGGCAACTAAGTGAGACTCTGTCTCAATTGTTTTAGAAAGGGTTTGGGGTGTATCTCAGAGACAGTGACCTGGTGCTCACTCCCTAGTAGCAAAAAAAAAAAAAAAAATCACCTTTCTTCCCTATTTGGGATCTCTGGAGTGGCCACCACTGCTGTCCCACCACCCAGCCCCCTGCCAGTGTTCTCCAGCTTTGTGAAGATGCAGCAGTCTCCTACCGCAGGATCTCACGGGCTTGCTTCCTCTGCTGTGGATGCCCACACCCTGACTCACTATTCACCTCCCTCAGCCTCCACTCCAGCCCTCAGAGCCTCTCTCTCAAAGGTAGGATGCTCTTTGTCACCTGTCACCCCCACTGCTTGTTCTTTATAGCACTTTATCCTAAGTTACAATCCTGAACTGCTTTAGAGTCTGTGGGACAGGGAGGCGTTTCTTTTCCCAAGATCCCCCACGCGGCTGGTTAAGTCTGTGGGATGAACTCCCAAAGCTCAGGAGTTCCCTGGTAAAATGTGGGAACTGACACCCAACTTTCAGGTGACCTCCAACAATCTTCATGTACGGGCCCTTACGGTGCCACTCACTGTGGTTTGTATGTAGCTGTCACAAGATAATTCCGCCACCCTGCTTTATCAAGAAAACAGGGTCGTATTTTAAGGAATCTGTCCATATACAGCCTCAGAAGAGGGGCTGGAGTTCCGGCCCACACCACCCGAGCCGAGCCCTCACCTTAACTGAAGAGAAAGCAGGCTCAGCATAGGTGTCCAGCTGAGGTCATGGAGGGTGACCACCCCCACCCAGGAAAGTGAGGGGGCTGTCAAGGGCACAGAGAACCGTACCAACAGCAGATGGACAGATGCTGCCAGGGGCCCCCCTGCTCAGTTAAAGCAACCTCAGATGCCAGTGAGCACAGTCTGCAGCTCCCTGCCAGGCTGGGGACAGGGTACTCTCTGGATGGCCCCAAACAAGCAAGAAGCAAAGTTGTGGGCCACAGCCATCCAGACCCAGCCCTGAGATTCAAAACCGGTCAGATTCAGTCTGAATGACAGGGCTTGTTCTTTCCACGGCATCCTCCTGGACAGGGACCCCGGCCCCCACCTCCCTGGGTATAACTACTTCGATAGTTAATACAGACTCATTCAATTTCCTGATTGTTAAAGGTAAATTATAAGCAGCTCATTTCTACTATACATATTTATTTTACTGCAGTTCTAGGGATTGCACCCAGAGGCACTCTACCAGTGAGCTACATCCCCAGCCCTTTTGATTTTTTTTTTGTTTTGAGATAGGGTCTCGCTAAATTGCCAGGGCTGGCCTCAAACTTGAAATCCTCTGCCTTGGCCTTCTGAGTACCTGGGACTACAGGTGCATGCCACTGTGCCCAGCTAACTATACACTTTTATAATATCTAAAGACATTCAAATTATCATTTTACAAAATGACAGTAAATTTTAATGTATATTAAACTAAAAAGATTAATTCCCTTTTGTTTAAAAAATATAAAGCTATCAAACTGCTTAAGGTATTTTATAAGAGTTTAGGCAAGAAACAGTTTTAACGGTATCATAAATAGTATTATAACTTTATTAAAATGAAAAGACAATATTCAAAATAATGCAACAAAATGAATAAAATCCTTTGTCCAATACTGTACACATAATGCAGAAATCAGTGCATTTTTCTAAAGCATGTTTTAACCTTCATTTAGTTCACACTAAAATATAATAAGCTTTAAATAGCTCAAATAATATCATTCAGCAGTTTAAATTGTAAACAGCTTGTTTAACTGTTAAGAGACCACCGCAGTCGTGTCCCCCTGTTAGCGAGCACCTTCTCCTTAGTGCCGTCTACACAAGCAGACACGTCAGAGGATGTGAAAACACCAACACAAGCCGTGTCTCACTGAGTCTGGAGGCAGCGAGGCACAGCCGGAGGGTTGGGAAGCAGGAAGGTGCTGACGTGGCCTCTGGCGTTAAGACGTGCTGTGCTATTGGTCACAAGTGTTTTACTTAAAAAGCAAACAATCCTAGGAAATACTGAATAGGAACCAGCAACACAAGGCCAGCTTGTGTTGTATCTGTTTATTAATACAGTTCTAAAAAACCCCCACAACACACCCCCCCACACAACAACTCTCAATCGCACAGCCAGCTGCTCCGCTGCTTTGCGAAACTTCCACCCTGAGTGCTGGTGGCCAGCGTGCCTTTCCAGCCGACTCTGTCCTGCGCCGCTGTCTCAAGGCCACACCACAATGGGCCCTGTCAGCATGTGGAAGAAAGCAGGAGCTGTGAGGATTACCAATTCTCTTTATCTTTCTGTTTTTCAAGATGTGAGACATACACAGGTGACAATGGTTGCCAAATAAACTGCTATCCCTCCCCTAAACAGGACAAGAAATAAAACCTGGAAGTGCCAGGCCTTGGGGTGACTGTGAGACTCAGCAGGTGCAGGCACAGTGCAGCATGCCTGCCCTGCTCTTCCTGGAGAGGTGCTGCAAAGATAACTGAGACAGAGCGCGGGCCTGAAAGCCAGAGATCGCCAAGCCGACTAAACAAAGTAATTTTTTTATATGATTCTGATCTCAACAATACTGCTTTTTTCTTCCATTTGCTCAATTTTAAGCCCAAGAAGAGCCATTCCTCCAGCTAGAGATTTTATTATTCTGCATATATATTACTCTAACATAGTAACTAACTGGTTAACCTGCAGCTAAGGTCTACGGTTACACCACAAGTTTGTACATAGGTATATAATGTATGCATATCTAAAAGTTTCCCCATCCTTCCCTCCCACCATCACATCTTTATAAATTATAGACTTTTTCTTCAATGTTAACAAAATCAGGGGTTCTCAGAATAGCACCTCACAACTGCTCTAACCCTTTCTCTTTAAGACAGAGTTCAATTATTTCAGTTTACAATCTGACAGACTGTTCTCTGAACCTCGATCAAACTGGAAAATTGAGAACCATCTGCTCCCACGTAACTTCTGCTGAATCTCGACTCCCAAGCCTAGGGAGAAACCACATAGGACAAGTGTTTCCGCTTCCCGTGGCCGCCCAGGTCCGTTTTTGCCTTGGAGTCCAGCGGTTCCATGGTGGAAGGCACGCTGCAGTCAGCGGGCACTGGCTGGAGCCGAGTGCCCGTGTCTGCTTCCTCTGCTTCCCTGAAGAACTTCTCGAATCTGTCCAGGTATGGCGGTCTCTCAGGTAGTAGGTAATAATGCGTTGAACTGACCTTCTTCCCATTTTCAATAATGGGCAGGATGCAGGGAACCTTGTTGGCAGACCCCTCGCTGTTCTGTCTTTGCAGGGCTTTGCTGCTGACATACTTGGGGTCGGGGGCAAAGCTCTGTGTCGGGGGCATGACCCCATTGAGGTACGATGGAAGGCTTTTAGGACTTGGCGTGCGGGAGTTACTCCTGGACAAAGGTTCTCTCGGTGGCACTTTGGGAGGCCTGTCTTCGTCACTGTAGGTGTTGGAAGTGACCTCTGCAGACCACCGTCTGTAGTCTGGCTTTACTGGCCGGGGAGGTATGGGAACCCTGGGAGGAATCTCAGGTTTGTCTTCGTCAGAGTTAGGAGAAGCTCTGTGGGTATAGCTGGATACCCGAATGGCTGGCTTGTTAAAGGACCCAGCTGGGCCCGAATGAGACCTTCTTAATCTGCGGTGGGTTTGGGGTGGAGGAGGATTCGGATTTGAGACACCTCCGATTTGGTCAGATGTGTGGCTAAGATCTGCTGCAGAAACAGCTGGGGTGTCAAAATATGCATAGTTGATCTGTCCACACCCACGGAAGCTTCGCCTACCAGGAACATCATATTTGAAATCAGAAAGTGCACAGTCTTCTAGAAGGAAGTCTGTATCTGAGCTAGTTAGGAATTCCACCTCACAGTCTGTGTCATCCAGAGAGAGGTCTTCGGAGATGGGCAGTGGTGGGAGGGGCCGAGAGCCCCGCTCACAGGGAGCTGCACAGGGGAAGGGGGAGGGGCAGGGCTTCATGGGTGTGAGCGGAGGCGTGGACGTGCAGAGCCCATTCACCGAGAGCTTCCTGAAGCCACAGACAACTGGATCCTCTTCACGCTGTCCCATACTGTCACTGGGGGGAATGATAAGAGGGGGCAGGCTGGACTTTTGAGATGGACCATTTTCCACAAAGGAGCAGCCATTCATTGGAGCCGACTGCGAAGTGTGCCCTAGAAGGAACAAGGGACGTCCATAAGGATCAATGACCCTGTACCTGCTGAGAGACAAGAGCTCTTCACTGCGACCCTGAGAACACCCATGCGACTGCCATGGGTGTAATTAGAGCCTGAGATGGGAACACACGTGACCTGGTTCAAAGAACAAACTATCTCTTCCATCTCCCTTGGACATGTGCATGGCACACACCCACACATCTGAGACAAGTTTTGTGACGTGTGCAAAATTCGCAGAAGATGAACAGCATATAATTTACATGAGTACCATGCTACACCGGCTTTGCCATTTAAGACATGCGACACTCCAAGGCACACTGGGCATGAGAGAGAGAAGACAAGGTCCTTACTGCCAGCATGTCACAACACTGAGTGAACAGACTCACAGTGTGTTCACCAAAAACCCAAGGAGCATAATGTTCACATTGAAAGTACCACACACACACAGTTTTTTATGTTTTAACATTTAGACTACTTTCATTTATTGCTTTCAAAGATGCATTTAATACTACTAATAAAGAGGAAATCTTGTCCAAAGTTTCTAAAGGTTAAGTATGCATCGTGGCTGGCAAGAACTCATTCTTGATTTTAAAAGATCACACTTCCATAAATTAAGTTCTCCTTAGGAATCAGTGACCCACGATAAAAGCCACTGAGTACAAGAGCTGGAGAAAAACAGTTAGTTCCACATCTGCTGCCACTAGGGGTCAGACCACCATCGGACACAGCTCAGTTTTCCTCCTTACAAACCACTGCTGCAGGGCCAGCCAAGGCCACCACTGCTCGCTCCCCTGACTTTCAGAATACATACCAATGGACGGGAGGTGCTCCTGAGGAGAGCTCAGACTGTAGGCCATGGTTATTGGGTCAATATTTAAGAAGTTACTGAAAGGAAAGGAAAGGAAAACACTTTGATCATAAACAAGCAGCAATCACATCCTCTAGGTCACTACAGTTGCACAGGGGCACAGCATTCTCTACTTACTGTCCAAACTCACTGCGACTGCCCCAGCAGGTCTTCCTGTTCCCCATGGCCTGGCCATTATGCAGAAATCCAGTTTTCAATGGGACTCTGATCTCCTGAGCAGCAACTCCTGCTGTTGACATTGTGCTGTATCGAGAGCCTCTGAATCGGTGAAGCCCAGGGATTTTTAAGTCAACCAGTAGCTTTCATTCCCTGAGGGTGGGTTGTGGGGATGGAGAAGAGGTGAGAGAAAAAAGGAAACAACTCAGAAACGCGTTTCTTAGGACAGTCTAAACCTCAGCACGAGTGGGTTCACAGGGAATCTGGGGTGTGAGTGGAAGAGGAGTGGCTGTAGGCGTCTGCCTCATTCTACTTCTCAGGAGGGAACCCCAACACAGACACTAAGAATAGCAAGATTTGAAATGTTTTCACAAAACGAGAAACAATCAGTTGCTGGGAAAACAGACCTTTTACTACAGAGCAAGCAACGAGCTACACAACCAACCCCACAGATGCCAGGCACACAGCCTCCCTCTAAACCAGCAGCAGGCCTCCCAAGGCTCGGAGCTCAGGGGAATCTTGCAGATTCCTCGCAAGCTAAAAAGGCAATTTCAGAAGTCACTATTTCACACTGCAGAGATAGTTAGCATTCACTAGACCCCCACACGCTTGACAAGGGAGTCTGGGCACTCCACAGATTAGCATTCACGTGGAGTTTGTATTTCAGGGTTGCCACAGAAGAGATATTCTCCAGATATTGCTTGTTCAAAAAAGAAATCATTATGTATGAAGACACTCATTTCCATTAGTGAAAATCAAATTCTGCAAGATGAGTGGCTCCAGCGCAGCTTCGTCCCTCCCTGTCAAAGACAAACTGAAAGGTACATTCTTTACATTCTCCTTTGTGAAATGCCCAGTAGTTCCTGCCTGGCTGCAAGGCATGGATTACAAAGGCTAAGTACATTTTTCTTAAAACTAACAGCTTCTAAACTTTAGGAACCCCCTTGTCGTATGTCACAGGTCCAGAGTCCCTGCAGCCTCTTTTTAGTTTTACTTTAGTATTCGCTGCATCACAAGCATTAAGGAGCATCCGCTGCAGTTCATTTATTCACATGCACTTAGACAAGAGTTTAGGCCTTTTCCCCTTGACACTGGAATGCTCTCAACTATCTGTGTGACACTTACACACTACAACACCGGCTCACTAAACATCTCTAGTCACTCTCTAAAAGCCTGCACACTGCCACGCGCTACAGCTGTGCTCAGGACTCAGGATGACAGAAAGTGACTAGGACACCTCTGCGGTGGAGGGGTGCACAGGTTTAACTGCTCAGCAACTTAAAATCCATTATTTACAAATTTGTCACCTCCTATCAGTGCACAGGAACAGACTGTGCCCCAATCACCACCCCTGCCAATTGCCTTTTAATCATCAGTGTCTGAAACATTAGCTCAATAGCTGAATGTTGAATGGATTTACAGTGTCCTCTGATTATCATACCAATTAAGTGGATACAGTGTTTGAGGTAGAGGGAATTTTAAAACTAAAGATCCAAAACTATACTCTGCAATTGTCTACTGTTTTTTAACGTTAAGAAGGAATGTGGTGGGCTGGGGATGTGGCTCAAGCGGTAGCGCACTTGCCTGGCGTGCGTGCGGCCCGGGTTCGATCCTCAGCACCACGTACAAACAAAGATGTTGTATCTGCCGAAAACTAAAAAATAAATATTAAAAAAAAAAAAAAAGAAGGAATGTGGAGGGCTGGGGTTGTGGCTCAGTGGTAGAATGATGCCTAGCATGCATGAGGCACTGGGTTTGATTCCCAGCAATATATAAAAATAAAACAAATAAAATAGAAGTATTGTGTTCATCTGCAACTAAAAAAAAAAAATTTAAAAAAAAAAGAAGGAATGTGGATATTGTAATTTTAAAAATTTCAGCGGCAAAGGAGCATGTGTCCCAATTCTTCTCAGGATAAATTTTCAGTGAAAATTTATCAATAAATTATCAATATCAATGATAAAAATTTAGAGTTTCAAATTTCATCTGGTTCTAATTCTCTACATTTGACTCTCCCCAATTAGCCGTTTCAATGCACTAGAGAGAGATTTTACCACAGGTTTAAAATATTATTTCAATCAATTTTTCTTTAAATCAGTCTCTAAAAGATATATGATAAAGAAAAAAATCTGTCATTTAAGAAATCTAAATCACCAGGAAGTCTCTTGAAGTCCCTTTCAAGATTACTGAAATGAGGCAAATTCGTTATTTACTTACCCGCAGGTAAAGCTCTAAAAAAAAAATTTAAAAACCAATTTAAAAAATGGCTAGCCCCTCCCTCTGTATGCTCAGCCCAGTGGTTTATCAGGCTTTTTCTAAGCGTTCTACAAGCACTGGCAGGACTACAGGGAAAGTGTCTGTGGTAACGTAAAAAAACGAAAGGCAAGATAGGAAGAAGAATATGGTATTTAAGTAGTTTGAAAGCACACGTTTGAAGATTGTTCATCCAGATTACAGGAAAAGGCTGCGGGGGATTCTGGAGGCCCAACCCCCACCTGTCGGCTAGCCAACAAGTACTACTAGTAATTACTGTGTGTCAGCCTCCTAGTGCCATCTAAATCTTAGCTTTCAACAGAATGATTGTGTAACTATCGCCTCTGCCGAAATTGCCTTGGAATTCTGAACCTACGTTTCAATGGTCACTTAAAATTATTTGTATGTTCTAGAAAAAGTTATTTTTTATTCATTGTTTCCATCACCTACTTGTTAGCTTTCTTAAGAAAAAAATTTTTTTAGTATAAAAAGAATTGTGTTCACTGAGCCAGCTCACTTCTGACCACAATAGTGTCTTTGTGTATTCATAGAAGGTGACCTGCCTCTAAATTTCAATGGGGAATTGTGAATGGGCCATGTTATGAAACTGTCCGAACTGCCTACTTGCTTGCATGGGAGAAGCCAGGAGGGCAATGGAATTGTCACGTTCTCTTCTTTTTGGAAAATAACTTCAAAATGTAAACCCCCAAAGAGCAACGTGCCATAGGTTTGGAAGAAAGGTTTTCAGAAACTGTTCTTCAGATGAGAATGAGACCACCTAAAAACCAAGTATCCAGCCTGTATATTCCTTGTGTGTGTGTGGGGCGGGGGGGGCGGGGGAGGTGAGTTGGGGGGTATCAACCAGTTTGGCCAACCTCTAGCTAAAAAGAAATAAATTCTGCTCAAGTAAAATCTGAATAATGCTGCAGTGTTTCTAACTTTATCTGGTTCCTCAGAACTGTAGAACTAGTTCTGCTTTACATTAGGAAAGCAATTACAAAAACAAACCTAGGTGGGGAAAATCAATACCTAGAATACAAGATGAGCCATTCTGTTATGAAATGCAAAAATAGGAAAGCAATGCTAATCCAGCAGCATGGTTTACACCAGGATCCAAATAACATTCAGCATGACAACTTTTCTTCTGTGTTTAGGAACTAAACCTCAGCCTTTTTAGTGGGTCAAAAATTGAGGTAAAACCTCAGATGTGAATTCTTTTTTTTTTTTCCTTTCTTTTTTCTATCAACATCAATTTTTTAAAAATTGGGTGGGGGTGACTTAAAATTATGTGTTTTTCAAGTCTCATTTTATTTTCTCTTTACCCCTCCCCAACAGCCAAGTTTTGACTTATTTCACCTCGACACAGACAATTCCTGAACAGAGGATTCCAGCCTGGCTCAGGCTTCAACTCTGCATTTCCTATTGTCTGGTGATTATCTTTCCACTTGGATGGTCCCCTGGCATCTCAAACTCTACAAACCAAACTCCTCCTTCCTCTTACCTCCCTCCCTCCCTCCCCCCCCCTCCCACCAGCTCTAGTCCAGGAGGATCACACTTCTCCCAGTTAAGGCCGCTAAGCTCCACAGACTGTCTACATTCTTTCTCAAATTTACCCTCCTTCCACTCACCGGCACCACAATGCCTCCAGTCTGAAAATGCCCAACCCACACTACATACCAGTACCCAGTCAGTGTTCCTTAACTACCTCTCAACCAAGAGCCTCCCCTGCTCAGGAGCCTTGGAAGCTCCTTCAGCCCTGCTGGCTCCAACACAGGCCTGCACGCCACGGCCCAACCTTCCTTTCTAGCTCTGGCTTCTCTTTCCTTCTTTCCTCCAAATGCTTAGAATCCAACTTATGCCTTCAGGCAACTCTTCTTATGCTGTCTTTGCCAAAAACCCTCCCTTTTATGAAAAGCCAAGGCAGTGTCTCTGTTCCTGGTTATTTTGTGCTGTGCCGATGCTCCTCTCAGCCCCGTCTCCCAGGACAGGAGTGGTGTCCGACTTCTCTTTTCTCCCCGTGGCTCCTGGCATCACTCACTTCTAATACACACTTATTAATGACGCTGAGAAAATATCCACCTCATGCTTTAAAAAGCAATTATGTGAAAGTTTCACAGAGGCTGACTGTCAGCAAAGAACTAGGAAAAAGCAAAGATTTGTAAGAGATAAACTTAACCCATGCTGGAGAGAGAGGCTACCAGTAATAATTTAACGAGTTTAGATCTCCTTAGTTCATTTCCAAAATCCAAAGCAGACAGTTTGCAGACTGAGTAAAAACGTCAAGCTTCAGTGGTTAACAGCACAGCTTCCTAAATTGGTTCCCGTTACTGTGTACTTGCTTAAAGCAATCAGGGGAGTATTTTCTGAAAACAATGAATTTTACCTTCTCTTACATACTATTCCTTCTAGATTACAATGCATCTACTGTGTTTTTGCTGCTAAATTTAATGTTACTTTCCTTTAAAAAAAAAAAAAAAAAAAAGTCGGGCTGGGGTTGTGGCTCAGAGGTAGAGCACTCGCCTAGTATGAGTGAGGCACTGGGTTCAATCCTCAGCACCACATAAAAATAAAGATATTGTGTCCACCTATAACTAAAAGGTGAATATTAAAAAAAAAAAGTCAAACCAAATGCACACTGCACACCTCCTTTACTGAGGTGAAATCACTTGCCTTTAGCTTGAGGACAGTCTCTTTGAAACTGCTTCCCCCCCCCCCCCCCCACACACACTCACTCACTCTCTCTCTCTCTACCTTACTGCAGTAACCTAGATATGCTTACCTTGCCACCAGATCTCATTAATAAATCTCAGGAGCAATCCACACAAGGAGGAGGGGCACATTTTTGTCATACAACTCATCCAGTTCTGCCCAGTGCTTCCTTATTTAAGAGTGTGATGTAA